GAGTTACTGGCTGGCGTCTTCTCCTAATGTAAACGTAAACTTTGTATATCTCACTATACACACCCAAAGCTTCCTAGCTCAAAAAAGAAAAAAAAAGCCACCACACCACAAAACACCAATGGCTGCACTGCATGCTGGTATTAGTGATAGTCATTCCGCACCATTTCATACCGTCTAAATAATGCGGTTTTGTTCATGCTGCCAAAACTAAGCGGCTTAGTTTTGAGCAAGGTTTTTGCATGACTTTACACTATGAATGGTACGGATAATTTCTTCTGTGATTAAATAGCAAAAATGATCTTCTTCGGTATACCAAGGGTCAGGCCAATGCCGGACTGAGACAAAAGCAAAAAAAAAAACCAGACACACACACACACCCAGATCCCTCCTGGCAGCACATGTGACATTTTTTGTAAGCCAACGCAGGCACTAGCCTCCAGAACAATTCCCTTTATAGAAAATGTATGTCTGCTTTATGGAATATCCTCCCCCGCCACCGTGCTGTTTGAATCTCATTAAGCTCCTTTCATTACCGCTGTAATTGTGCAACAGTTCGTTCTGTTTGTCCAAACTTCCATTTATTTCAGGGTGGGTGGGTTGGTTTGTTTTTTGCTTCTTTCAGCATTCCTCATCTGCTTCTGACTTGCAGCAAACGCTCTGGATTGTCTCAACACAGTCCCCATGGTCATCAATCCTTTTGAATTCAGTGGGTCTGAATCCATTTTGGAATCCTTTCACTCCATTGCTTTCAACAGGATTCTCCAGGTGTTTTCCAGATTGTGTCCAAGACCTCTCTCACCTGCCGTAAGACCAGAGTAACGTTTTCACATGCGATGGCAGCAGGCATGTTTTACATCTCGATGGCCACTTATATGGGAAGTGGAACTGTGAATCTGTATCAGTAAGTCGGCAGGCGCACTGGGGACCTGCCCTGGGGACCTACCTTTGCCTACATTTTTCTATCCCATGGCTTGGATATGGTTCCATTCGAACACCTTTATGTGTTCCTGGTAGACAACATCACTTTAAATAAGGTAACGGTGGCTGCCTCCATGAATTAAGAACCTGCCATAAGCCACCATGACTTCCATGAGCCCAGAACTATTACAGTTGTGCCCCGCTTAACGATTGCCCCGCATTACGATGAATCCGCTTTATGACAATGTTTTTGTGATTGCAATTGCGATCGCAAAATGACAGTCTAAATGGGGGAATTTCGCTTAGCGATGATCAGTTCCCTGCTTCTGTAACCGATTTTTGCTTTATGAAGATCAAAAACAGCTGATTGTTGGGGTTTCAAAATGGCCACCGGGTGCTTAAAATGGATCCCTGCTGTGCTTAGGGATGGATTCCTCACTATACAGGCACCGAAAATGGCCACCGTATGGAGGATCTTCGCTGGACAGTGAGTTTTTAGCCCATTGGCATGCATTGAACGGTCTTCAATGCGTTTCAATTGGTTTTTTAAGTTCATTTTATGACATTTTTGCTTAACAGCAATTTTCCTGGAACGGATTATCATCGTTAAGCGAGGCACCACTGTATCTTAAGTTTCATCACTTTCCATGGGGTTTTAACATAGTGTCTCCATCTCGTGTGGTCAGTGGCTAGCTATTGTCTTGCTGTCCAGGCTAACCATATATTGTACAAATGTGCATTGTGCCCTGTCTGAGGTATTTTGTCCTGCAATTTCTAATATCATGAATGTTCATCAGAATTTCTTTTCTCCTCTGGGAGGTTCAGCTTCAACAAGAACATTTGTAGAGCGGGCCAGTTTCCTTATTCAACTTTACACCCCATTAAGACATGGTTTGATAAACCTTCGCTAATTGCTGACAGAGCCGTATCTTCATGCTGCTCCTAATATTCCAGAAACAGGCGCCACTTGAATGCAGCAAAAGTTGTATCTTGATTCTACAGAGATTAACTTTTTTTTTTGGCTCTTGGTATCAGCGGCGCCAACATGTAAACCAATATGTTTCTCAAATAATACAGTGCCCCACATATTTCTAGGGTTCTATTTCTGACTTTCTTTTCTAAAGGCAATGTGCACAAATGAATGACTTAATTTCCCTGTGCCTCAGTTTCCCCATCTGTAAAATGGGTCGAATTATACCTCACCATGGGGAATTGTGTGAGGTTCCATTTATGTTTATCTATAAAGCACTTTGAAGTCAGTAGAAAGGCAACTTCCTCCTTTATTACCTTTGGCTTGTACCTAACGATGCTCATTTATATCATCACTCAGATGGGGAATGGCATTAGTGTTGTTATTTTTCCTCCACTGGCAGTGCATGAAAGAGACGGAGGCTGAGTTCGCTCTGCTATTAGATCAGGGAAGCAAGTCATAGGGCGAAGCATGAATATATCACCCCGTACGTCAGTGGTACCCAACCTTGGTCTTCTGGATGTTCTTGGACTAAAACTCCCAGAAGCCATCGCCACTAGCTGTGCTGGCCAGGATTTCTGGGAGTTGAAGTCCAAGAACATCTGGGGCCACAAGGTTGGGAACCACTGACCTATTGCGTATGTAAGATAACCTGTGAGGTGACTGGGCTTTGGAAATACATATATGATAAGCTCTTTGATGACTCCTACTTTTCCTGACTTCTGCTCCCTTGCTCTTTTCATTGGACATGTCACAGATTTAAACTGAGATCCTTCTGTATGTAAAAGAGATGCTGCACCACAACCTTCTGGTCCCTCTTCTGTTGCTCCTTTGCTCCAAATATTTCATCTCCAGACCCATAAAAATCTGAAGCTGTGCTAAACGAGTGGGTAATAATGTATTTTGGTAGCAGAGATTTTTCTTCCCAGGAACTTGAACAAGGTTTATTGGTTTCGCATGCAATGCCTTTTCCACCCACCGTAATTTGAAAAGTTTCTCAATGAGTCACAGTTATTGCCACAATTGTTGCTCCGTCTTGTTCAGGTTTGTTTATGTGAAGATTTCTGGGAATTAATGCTGGTAACATTCAACGACCTGGTCAGGAATTTGTCTTATCATTAACTACTGCCCTCAACTAATTTTGTATATTGGTGCTGCCTTTTACACGAAGTTTTCAGAATGTATTGTGAGCGGGGTAGATTCAATCTTTCTTAGAGTCAGACTTTCATAGAAACAACCCATTAAATATCAGTGAATCTTAAGTTAATCATGATCCACTTAAACCCAGTTGATCCAGCCCTCTGTGCTATGTAACAGGAAATGCTAGAAACATGAATAATTTTATTAAACAGAATTGGGTTCCCATAATGGTCTTCTGTGGGACCTGGCCAACACAGCTAGTAATGAAGGCTTCTCGGACTTTTAGTCCAAGAACATCTGGGGACCGAAGGTTGGGTGGAAAACATCTGGAGGGGACAGGATTCTATATGCCAACATCTTTGGACCCAAGGTTGGGAACCACCGGTGGAAAACATCTGGAGGGCACAGGATTTCATATGCCAGCCTTATTTTGTGTGAATAACATCTGGATACAGTGTAAGATTGACTTCACAAGGGGCTGTGAACACATTACTTGTGAATGTTTTCAACGAGTGGCAGAATGCACCAGTAGCTCATGTTTTAGAATCCAGGGAAGCAAACTTAAAAATTGATTTAAGCAGTGTCAAGTTTATGACCATCTCACGATTGCAGCACTGTTTTCCTTATGTATACTCCTGGTCCTGTTCTCCTGTTTTTATCCAGAGGCCAGGAGCCAATTCAATGGCTTGCTTTGGCTTCTTTGTTATTATACACTGAAACCTACCCAACAGATCAATTTTAGCAGGTCACCTGAGAGCTAGTTTACATGTTTTAGCTGCCAGCACAGAAGCAGCCTTGAATTGATGAAGCAGCTGAACACACTCCTGCCGGCTTAATAATTATGATGTCCGGGCTAAGCCTTGTAAATCAGGCAGCACAAAAGCTAAACCGCACTGCCACTGTGGAAACCAGGGCCAACAGCAACAACAGCATCCATTTTATTTTGGTAAGTGACAAGGCACCCTTTAGATTGGGAAAGGACAGTGCCCTTGCAATTGATCATCTTATTTCACAAAATGACCCCGCCTCTCTTTATATTTATATATTTTCCTCCACCTTTTAACCAAAGTTCTGGAGCGCTTTGTAAGGAGAGGTGTGGCATGGGAAGGTGCATATAATGATTGTGGAAATTGGAGTAATGTTTATTTGTCACGGTGACCCTATCACTTGTGGCAAGGAGATGTGTTTGGAAAGCTATGTGCTGTTAAGACCCAGATCCTGTAAAACAATCTTATTTAGCTGATCGGTTATGAAACTGGTTGTTGTGGGTTTTTCGGGCTCTTTGGCCATGTTCTGAAAGTTGTTCTTCCTAACGTTTGGCCAGTCTCTGTGGCCGGCATCTTCAGAGGACAGCACAGTAACCAGAGCACCGAGATGCCAGCCACAGAGACTGGCGAAACGTTAGGAATAACAACCTTCAGAACACGGCCAAAGAGCCCAAAAAACCCACAACAACCATTAGATTCCGGCCATGAAAGCCTTCGCAGTTATGAAACTGCTTTGGTAACAACATAACTGGGCTTCCGCCCTATTCGGGCACTACAAGAGTGGGAAAATTCACCATGCAAGCCAGAGCAGAGTCTGCATTAAACAGTCTCACCACAGGTTTTGCATCCTTGCAACTCCACCCCATAAGCATATATGGGTACAGAGTCAATGGCTTGTATCCTGTCGCAAACAGATAATTACGACTTCACAGAGTGCTCTGCATTAGCCCTGGCCACCTCCGGTTTGTAGTTACACAAGCTGCAAGCTGTTTTGTTGATGACAATGGGATTTCTACTGGCACAGGTTGCCTTTCACCAAGCATGGAGAAACCAAGCATGTCCCAGCCCCAATTCCCCAGCAAACCTAGGTTAGCCGATGCCTGCAGCTGGGAAGCCCGCACAGGTCCTCAGAGATTTCCATGCAGTTCAAAACCCTGCACAGTCAGGGTTCTGAATCCCACTGCAGCTTCCACATGAGCTCTGGGCATCTCTCCTTTGCAAATACAGTGGTGCCTCGCTTAACAATTACCTCGTTAAACGATGAAACCGCTTGAAGATGAAGTTTTTGCTATTGCAAAATGCTGTTTTGATAGGGAAAAATTGCTTAACGATGATCGGTTCCCTGCTTCGGGAACCAATTTTTCGCTAGACGATTTTAGAACAGCTGATCAGCGGCTCTAAAATGGCCGCCTGCTGTGCAAAATGGCTCCCCACTGTGTTTTAGGATGGATTCTTCACTTTACAGGCATCAAAAATGGCTACCTTGTGGAGGATCTTCGCTGGACACTGAGGTATTTAGCCCATTGGAATGCATTGAACCAGTTTTCAATGCATTTCCATGGGCTTTTTTGTTTCGCTTGACGAGGATTTCGCTTAACAGCGATTTCAAAAGAACAAATTATCCTCATCAAGCGAGGCACCACTGTACGTTTATTCTGTACCCATTCATGCCTATGGAGATGCTGTGGTGTGACATCCTCCTTGAGGCAAGCCCATCCTGACTTATGTAGTGACTTTTGCTCATGTCTGAGGAGAGTTATGGTTGTCAGGGCAACATGGATCCTCTCTGTTTCCTCCCCTAGTTCAAGAGTGCAGACCATTGAAAAGATGGGTTTCTTTGGTATCAGTGATTTGTTTATGTAGACGAACAGTTATAATGAAATATCAGAGTGTATTTTATGATTAAATATTTGAGTGAATGAAACACTCACAAGGTCTGAGGGAAGCTGATTGCCAACGTGACATGATTATTTTCAACCTTCCCAGTTTTGAGAGATGCTTTATCTGACCAAGCCCACCCACCCACCTACTATTAGCCTTGTCTTTCTATAAAGCATTTTTTTAAAAAATAAATCTTTTCAAAGGAAAGTTTTGAAATATGTTTATACCCTGTGGTGCAACAGGACAGATGCAAAGTCAAAATGGTTTGTGTCGTCAATAAAGCAATTGATGGCACAGAAATTGGAATTTCTCTATCCTGGTATGCTATTAAAGAATAATTGGGATCAAGTGCCATAGGATTTTTACTTCAGAGTAAACACGCTTAAGCGTTAACTGCAATGCCTTCCGTGGGGCTGTATTACTGGAAGAGTGTGTCTACAATACAGAATTATGACAACTTGATTCCACTTTAACTGCCATGATTCCTTCCTCTGGAATCCTGTGATTTGTTGTTTATTGAGATGCGTAAGCACTCACTGCTATACTTCAGGGGCGTGCGCCTGATTTCCCAAGAAAAGAACTCCAAACACGGAATCTCAGAGCCCAGGGGATAGGGGCTATAGCATGTTAAAAATGCTACCCAATTGGTGTACCTCTGCAGTGTGGATTCACTTTCTCTGCCACATTTCTGCAAGCAAGGATGGAGTCACTAAGGTGGGCATAAGCCCCCCTCGTCAAGTGCTTTCTTCCAAGCACCCATGGTCAAAACTGGGCAATAATAGTGTTTTTAGGATGGAGGCCCTTAGACTAGGGATCAACGGGAAGATGTTTGCAGGTGTTATCCAGTTATGGGCTGTCTCCCTTCTTCCGAGCTGATTTCCCCTGCAAGGTGAGCCAATGTCACAGGCAAAGGATGTATTATT